TGACCAGACCCACATAAGGATCCTTGATGTCCTGAGATTATCTACCCTAAATGCGCATTGGGATTGCGTATCTGGTGAGTGCGCAATCTTTATACATCCATCACCTCATCCACGGATCCAGCCATTGGATTTTTGAAGATCATTTGGGATCTTTTCTACTCACGCTATATACTGTATTTGGTCTAGTGCCCAATCACCTATCAGTCACCAATAGGTGACGTTTTTACTTGCACCTTGATATTTGTTTATGTTATTTTATTGTATTTTATATGAGGATGTTTGAATATTACATGTCCATATATTTTAATATATCATTCTAGCGCTGCACCTGGCTTTATTCTGTTTTTATGACTTGCCTATCCATAAGTGAATAACAGAAATTAAAAATAAAATAGAAGACTTGCCTAGATTTTCCTGCCTCCTGTATACAGTATGTCTGGTTTTCCTGAACAAGGATTGGCAATTGTAAATGTTACCTAAAGCACCTACTGCTGGTAAAATCTGGTACTATGACTGCACCTGTGAACCACAGTCCGGCACAAATCTATGGTACATAGATAATTGCCTGGGTCTTGGTAGACACAGAGGATGGCTTTCCTATCAACAATACTGTGACTCCTGTAGAATTCTCTATTATATAAAACAAAAACCCAAGAGGGATAGTGGGACCCCCTCACAATGGTCACAATAGATGTGCAGGGCCAGGAATTTAGGGATAGAGATCTCACAAAAATAGAAAGGGTCACTTGCCTACTGGGCACATTTACCCCCTTCCTGCCCAGGCCAATTTTCAGCTTTCAGTGCTGTTGCAATTTGAATGACTATTGCACGGTCGTGCAACACTGTACCCTAACAAAATTTTACATATTTTTCAGACAAATAGAGATTTCTTTTGGTGGTATTTAATCACACCTGGGGTTTTTATTTTTTTACTAAACAAACTTAAAAAGGCCAAAAATTTTGAAAAAGAAACGTTTTTCTTAGTTTCTGTTATAAAGTTTTGTAAATAAGTGATTTTTCTACTTCAGTGATGTGCGCTGATGAGGCTGCACTGATGGGAACTGATGAAGAGGCACTGATGAGGCTGCACTGTTATGCGGCACTGATATGTGGCACTGATGGGCATTGATAGGTGGCACTGATGGGCACTGATAGGCATCACTGATGGGCACTGAAAACCAGCACTGATGGACACTGATAGGCATCACTGATGGGCACTGAAAACCAGCACTGATGGACACTGATAGCTAGCACTGATGGGTATTGATAGCCAGAGCTGATGGGCACTGATAGCCAGCACTGATACAAAGCATGGATAGGTACTAAAAGCAAGCACTGGTGGGCACTATTAGCTGCACTGATGGGGCTACACTGATCATCAGGGTACTGATGATCAGTGCCCTGACGGTCAGTGTAGATATCCCCTCTGAGAAATGATGCTTACACAGCTGATCACATGGTAAAAGGCCACTCTGATTGGTAGTTTACCTGGATCCTTGATTAGCTGTGTCCAAGGGAAACAGCGATCACAGATTTCGCCCTGTGCACCCCAAGGGGCACATGGGGGGGGCAGTTCTGGAAGGAGGTCCATGGATGCCCTCCCAGAACTAGCTGACCACACTTTAGCCATCTTTTGGCTATAGTGTGGTCTGGAACTAGTTAAAGTGGCTCTATATTTCAGATATGAAACATGAAGAGAGCATATCCCTCTATAGTGTGTAAGTGTTTACATGTGGGGCAGCACAGTGGCTAAATGGTTAGCACTTCCGCCTGGCAGTACTAGGGTTGTTGGTTCAAATCCCAACCACAGCACCACCTGCCTGGAGTTTGCATGTTCTCCCTGTGCCTGCATGGGTTTCCTCTGGGTGCTCTGGTTTCCTCCTACACTCCAAAGACATGCTGGTAGGTTAATTGACTCCTGTCTAAATTGGCCCTAGTATGTGTATGTATGAATGTGAGTTAGGGACCTTAGATTGTACGTCCCTTGAGGGTTAGGGACTGATGTGAATGTACAATATATATATGTAAAGCGCTGCGTAAATTGACAGCACTATATAAGTATCTGAAATAAATAATAAGTGTTTCAATCCAGAGCACTAAGTGTCATTTCCATCTGCTGTCTCATTCCTCTGCTATAACTATGAGTCACTTTTGACAGGTTTTCCTGACACCAAGAGAAAAATGGTTCCAGGGAGGGACAGCTTCAGTTCTATTCCTGTGAGCTATGTGGAGGGAGGGAGGGAGGGAGGGAGGGGGGGGTATCCCCTCCCTCCAATCAGCTCTCAGAACTCTCTCCTCACTGATGTAACCTCGACTCCCCTCCCCCTGCTTTTCAGAGCTGAGAGATCCTGTGTAAATTCTGCACTTTGAATGGATGTAGGGGGAAGATGGATGTAGGTAAACAGGTACAACTTATGTAGGAGGATTTGTTCATCTCTGTGTATCACCAACCACGTCACTAGGTATATATAAGGGTTTACAACCACTTTAGGAGATCTCTCCTCTTCCACTAGAATGTCAGAATGGAGAGGGGTCAGGCACAACTGGTTTAGGCTCTCAGCCATGTGCAGAGAGGCAGAGCCAATTATCAAATGTCACTGCATGGATCCTGGAGCTACTCTTCCACATCAGCTGATAGCAGGCAGTAGTTTGCTATCAGTTGATTCTGGGTCACAGCAGAGCAAAAGTAAGTGCACTCTTATGACCCAGAGATATACTGTATGCCCAAAAAAGTTTTGTCTATACTTATCATTGAACATGCATGCACGTAACATGAAAAACAATCTCATGACAGGTCCACTTTAAAATAGTCTGCAGCAGCCAAGTGTACCAAAAGTCTGACCATTCATACATGAATCAGTGACACATCATGAGTAGAGATGAGCGAATCGAACCAGGCGAACCGGAATTCGAGTCAAATTTCAGGAAATATTCGATTCGCGTCGAATCCGAAATTTTGCCTACTTCGGGTGCTCGAATCGAATATTTCCCGATCAGCCGGCAAAGATACACTTAGAGGAGCTCTGCAGATACACTTAGAGGAGCTCTGCACATACACTTTTTGCCGGCTTGGAATTAATATTATTTTCATCCTACTTCTTGAAGAAGAAGAAGAAGAAGTAGGATGAAAATAAGAATAATTCCAAGCCGGCAAAAAGTGTATGTGCAGAGCTCCTCTAAGTGTATCTGCAGAGCTCCTCTAAGTGTATCTGCAGAATAGAGGAACTCTGCACATACACTTTTTGCCGGAAACCGCTGTATGGAGTGAATGTCCCAGAACTGTCAGAAATAGACTATTTATGACAGTTCTGGGACATTCCTTCCATACAGCGGTTGAAAACATTGTATCTATTTGTTTCCATAAATGGATCCATTTATGGAAACAAATAGATACAATGTTTCAACCGCTGTATGGAAGGAATGTCCCAGAACTGTTAGAAATAGTCTATTTCTGACAGTTCTATGACATTCCCTCCATACAGCGGTTGAAACCGCTGTATGGAGTGAATGTCCCATAACTGTCAGAAATAGACTATTTATGACAGTTCTGGGACATTCACTCCATACAGCGGTTGAAACCGCTGTATGGAGGGAATACTGTCAGAAAAATAGACTATTTATGACAGTTCTGGGACATTCACTCCATACAGCGGTTGAAACCGCTGTATGGAGGGAATGTCATAGAACTGTCAGAAATAGACTATTTATGACAGTTCTGGGACACTCACTCCATACAGCGGTTGAAACATTGTATCTATTTGTTTCCATAAATGGATCCATTTATGGAAACAAATAGATACAATGTTTCAACCGCTGTATGGAAGGAATGTCCCAGAACTGTTAGAAATAGTCTATTTCTGACAGTTCTATGACATTCCCTCCATACAGCGGTTGAAACCGCTGTATGGAGTGAATGTCCCATAACTGTCAGAAATAGACTATTTATGACAGTTCTGGGACATTCACTCCATACAGCGGTTGAAACCGCTGTATGGAGGGAATGTCATAGAACTGTCAGAAATAGACTATTTATGACAGTTCTGGGACATTCACTCCATACAGCGGTTGAAACCGCTGTATGGAGGGAATGTCATAGAACTGTCAGAAATAGACTATTTATGACAGTTCTGGGACACTCACTCCATACAGCGGTTGAAACATTGTATCTATTTGTTTCCATAAATGGATCCATTTATGGAAACAAATAGATACAATGTTTCAACCGCTGTATCTTCTCATCCTTCTCCTTCTTCTCATCCTTCTCCTTCTTCTCATCCTTCTCTTTCTCCTTCTTCTCATCCTTCTCCTTCTTCTCATCCTTCTTCTCATCCTTCTCCTTCTTCTCATCCTTCTTCTCATCCTTCTCCTTCTTCTCATCCTTCTCCTTCTTCTTCATCCTTCTCCTTCTCCTTCTTCTCATCCTTCTCCTTCTTCTCATCCTTCTCCTTCTCCTTCTTCTCATCCTTCTCCTTCTCCTTCTTCTCATCCTTCTCCTTCTTCTCATCCTTCTCCTTCTCCATCTTCTCATCCTTCTCCTTCTCCTTCTTCTCATCCTTCTCCTTCTCCTTCTTCTCATCCTTCTCCTTCTTCTCATCCTTCTCCTTCTTCTCATCCTTCTCCTTCTCCTTCTTCTCATCCTTCTCCTTCTCCTTCTTCTCATCCTTCTCCTTCTCCTTCTCCTTCTCCTTCTCCTTCCTCATCTCCAAGGGCATTTAAATTAAAGGTACAGTGTTCTGCACTAATTTAAAGGCTCTCTGAAGCCTAGAAACCCTTTTAATATGTTAACTTCGTAGCGAATTAATTCGCATCGAATCGAATTTCATACTGGAATTCGCCGAATCAGCCGAATCGAATTTTTGAGAAATTCGCTCATCTCTAATCATGAGTATAAAATGCTCAATGGAAATGTCTTTAGTCCAAGAACTGTAAACAGCAGCAAGTTGAGGATTAAAGTGTTACTAAACTCAGGACCTTGCATTCACTATATCTGGTCTCCCTGGACCCTGCATTCACTATATCTGGTCTCCCCGGACCCTGCATTCACTATATCTGGTCTCCCCAGACCCTGCATTCACTATATCAGGTCTCCCAAGACCCTGCATTCACTATATCTGGTCTCCCAGGACCCTGCATTCACTATATCTGGTCTCCCCGGACCCTGCATTCACTATATCTGGTCTCCCAGGACCCTGCATTCACTATATCTGGTCTCCCCGGACCCTGCATTCACTATATCTAGTCTCCCTGGACCCTGCATTCACTATATCTGGTCTCCCAGGACCCTGCATTCACTATACCTGATCTCCCCGGACCCTGCATTCACTATATCTGATCTCCCAGGACCCTGCATTCACTATATCTGGTGTCCCACAGTACACAGAACATGGTAATGCAATTATTTTAGTAAATATAAACTGCTAAATACTGTACCTTTTCTCATCAATAGTTTATAGCAGTCTTGTGACGTTTATCCGTGTCTAGCTGAGCACTGGTTAAAGCTTGTAGGATGAGTTTTCATTCTCCTCTGACTGTCCTATGAGGCTGCATGACCCCTGACCTTCTGTCTGGACAGTGGACCTTCCAAAAGAAAAAAAAAAGAAAAACTGAACTGAGCATGTGTAGAGTGACTCCTAGAGCTCTGTGCTATCAGTAGATGGATTGGGGACAGTAGAAGATGGGGAGGATCAGAGAAGTCAGGATCAAATATCCTTTTTACACAATGCAGAGAGGATAAACCCCTTAGGTGCCACAGTGAGTATACCAAGCATGCTTTACTGCACATACAGACTGATTTTACTGTTGTGGGTTTAGTAGCACTTTCAAGTTTTTTCAGCAGTATAGAGAAGATGTACAAAACTATTAGTAAATACAAAAAGAGGCATCTAAACTGATTTCCTTTTGACTTCATTTACTTTTTAGTTTGTACATTTCAGGCAACTTATTGAGAATTTGGAGAACAATTTGTACTCTTTAGATTAGTATATGCTGCTAATGTAATACTGTAGACATATGGATCCAGTCTCCAAACATCAATATCAGTTAACTCACTTCAATATCCTTGTATTAGACTTGCATTAATTACAGTTTGTATTATTAATTTTACATGATTGGATTCACTATGCTCAATGCACCAGATTTAGCAAGATCATGACATGTATTAGAGCTCTTTAGGCAGACCTCTATTGATTTGAAAGCTCATTTTGGTTCAAAAGAGGTTCATGTATTATTTGTATTTATTGCACTTAGTTCTGTGATTGATAAAGCAGGAAAATAAGCTAGTGTTAAACCCAGGACCCTGCATTCACCATATCCGGTCTCCCAGGACCCTGCATTCACTATATCTGGTCTCCCCGGACCCTGCATTCACTATATCTGGTCCCCCCGGACCCTGCACTCACTATATCAGGTCTCCCAGGACCCTGCATTCACTGTATCTGGTCTCCCCGGACCCTGCATTCACTATACCAGGTCTCCCCGGACCCAGCATTCACTATATCTGGTCTCTCCGGACCCTGCATTCACTATATCTGGTCTCCCCGGACCCTGCATTCACTGTATCTGGTCTCCCCGGACCCTGCATTCACTATATCAGGTCTCTCAGGACCCTGCATTCACTATATCTGGTCTCCCCGGACCCTGCATTCACTATATCTGGTCTCCCCGGACCCTGCATTCACAATATCCAGTCTCCCACAGTACACAGAACATGAAAATGCAATTATTTTAGTAAATATAAACTGCTAAATACCTTTTCTCATCAGCAGTTACAGCAGTCTTGTGACTTCTAGCAGTGTTCAGCAGAGCACTGGTTAAAGCTTGTAGGAGGAGCTTTAATTATCCCCTGATTGTTTTATGAGGCTGTAGGACCCTTGACCTCTGTCTGGACAGTGCTGATTGGCCCTATGCTGATCACATGCACTCTCCCAAGAGAAAAAAAAAAACTATCTAGCAACACACACCAAACTGAGCATGTGCAAAGCCCCAAGGCTCTGTTCTATCAGCAGACGGATTGGGGACCGTGGAAGAAGGGGAGAATCAGAGAAGACAGGATCGAACAGCCTTTTTACACAATGCAGAAGGTTAACCCACCAGGTTTCACAGTAAGTATAACAAGAACATTTTACTGCATATACAGACTGATTTTACTGGTGTGAATTTAGCACCACGTTTAAGCTCAGCTCTGGTTGGCCAAAAAATGCAAACATGGATTTCCTAGCAGCCCTTCACCCTAGGTTCACACTTATGTGGATTTCAGTGTGCTTTCCAGTTAGCAGAAACACACTACAGTCCATTGAACATGATTTCCTATGGATCTAGTTCACACCTGTGCTTTTTTTTTTTTAAAGGGTCAGGGACTTCATTTCCCGCAGCAGATTATGTTTTTTTTGTCCAATAGACTTCAATTGAACCAAAAACGCAAGTTGTCATTTTGTTGCATTTTGTGTTTTGTTTTTTTGCCATTAAGAAGGTATTAACTTTGATGCCATTTTGATGCAACTTGGATGTGACTTTGGATGGGTGCGACCTTCATGTGACTTTACACTCAAGTAGCATCAAAGCAGCAACAAAGCTGCATCCGAGTCGCATCCAACCAAAGTCACATCAAAGTGGCATCAAAGTCAATACTTACCTATTGGCAAACCCCCCCCCCCCCCCCCCCCCCAGCAAAACTCATCAAAAACCCACTTTCAAAAACACAAAATGCACTGTAAAATTTCACAATCCGCAATCTGCATAGATTCAAACCTAGCCTCGGAGTGCGTTTTGCATTCGTGAACGCACGTTTTTGATACGCTTTACCTGGACGGGGGGTGCCAATAAGAAAATATTGACTTTGATGCCACTTTGGATTGGTGTGACTGGGATGTGACTTTGATGCTACATGAGTGTCAGAGACTGTAAAGTCACACCCATCCAAAGTCACATCAAAGTGGCATCAAAGTCAATATTTTCCTATTGGCAAACAAAAAAGCAAAACATAAAAAATGCATAAAAAAACACAACACTTGCATTTTTTTCTGTGGTTCCATTAAAGTCTATTGCACAAAAAAATGCAATCTGCTACAGGAAAAAAAAGTCCCTGACCCTTTCCAAAAATACGCGCCTGCTCAAAACTCACAGATGTGAACTAGATCCATAGGAAATCATGTTAAATGGGCTGTAGTGCTTTTCTGAAAACTGGATAAGTGAACTAAAAATCTGCGTAAGTGTGAACCTAGGGGAAACAAATTTAAAAAATCAGCTGCAGTTGCTATACTCACCTTCTCTCTGGAGCTGTCCCCTGCCGACTTCCCCATTTATGGATCTAGTGCTGATTCCCTTCCAGGTTGAATGGCACCCAGCAGCACTTGGCAGAGCCACAAAGTGCAGATTGTTGGAACGGGGAGGAATCTCTAACTATAATAATGTCCTTACCAGGGGTGGACTGACAACTCATGGGGCCCCCGGGCAATAGGGGATCATGGGGGCCCCTGTATCCTTGCCCAAACTCAAAAAAGCCTATGAAAAAGGTACCAGGGGCATCTCATGGGGTCCCCTACTGACCCTGGGCCCTCGGGCAGTGCCCGAGTTTCCCAATGGTCAGTCCGCCCCTGGTCCTTACATATAATAAGGAAAGGAAAAGCATTGTGTTCAAACAAGGGTTTCTTTTGGTGGTAGTAGCTATGAATTGGTATTTTTCTATATGTTTAAAGGTGAAAATATATTAAAAACTGAACATCACCAGCACATAGTTACATTCATGTAAGAGAGCTTTTCTGTCGAAAGGGAACAAACTTACTAGCCAGGGTCCCAGATAAAAATACAGTAGAAGAAAGAAAGCCTAAAAAAGGAAACAAATGCAGCCATCACATCTAAGAATTGCTAAGCTACCATATAATAAAGGTTTGCTTTTGGGTTTACTACTTAACCTCCCTGGTGGTATTCCCGAGTGTAGCTCGGGGTAAAGTTTCAGTACCAAAAGCGGTAACCCCGAGCTACACTCGGGCTTACCATGCGGCGCTGCATAGGGAGTCCCTGCAGAGCTTACCTTGTCCTTCGCTCCCGCGATGTGTCCCCTGCAGCGTCCCCGGCCATCTCCTCCGGCCGATGCCGGCATCCGGCTTCCATGTTCCGGTCCCTGTGACGTCGGGACATACGGGCACCGGAACCGGCGGCAAATTTGAAATTTTTTAAAAAATTTCATTTTTTAAAAAATTATTATTACATAGTAAAACATTGCTGTTTCAACCCATTTCACATACATTTTGTCCCGAGTGCTTTGTCCTGTGCCCTGCCTGCATTTTTACTGTTCTTTCTGCCTGGAAACTTAGAAAAGTCCACGGCGTCAAAAAAGCGTCCCTTTAGGTCAAAAGCGGTTTTAGACCGACTAGAGAAGAGCGATAGTAAATCAGAACCACTTGCAGAATTGAGTGATAATGATTTGTGGGAAAATTCGTCCTCAGACACTGAAAACGATTTTGCGACTTTGCTCAGCGATATGCAAACTTGGCGCTATATTTCAAATTTCAGTGTTTTTTTTGGTTTGATTATATTATTGAATTAAATTTATTATTATTATATTATTATTTTTTATGATTATTTATTAAATTATAATTTATGATTTTCTGTTTCAAGTTTTATCATACCCGGGATGTTTACTAAACTCTTGTTCGGACAGATTTCAGTGAGTTATTCCTAAATTACAGCCTACAATAAAAAAAATACATATTTCCATGCAAAAAAATGGTACCAACCCCACGCTTTCAGCACCAAAAATCTGAAATAATCATACCGCCAGGGAGGTTAAAGGGTGGGCAAGGTGAAAACAGACATGGCTATACACTCACTGGCCACTTTATTAGTTACACCTGTTCAATTGCTTGATAACACTCAAATTGCTAATCGGCCAATCACATGGCAGCAACTCAATGTATTTAGGCATCTAGATGTGGTGAAGATGACTTGCTAAATTTCAAACTGAGCATCAGAATGGAGAAGAAAATAGATGTAGGTGACTTTGAACGTGGCATGGTTGTTGCTGCCAGACGGGCTGGTCTGAGTATTCAAAAACTGCTGATCTACTGAGATTTTCATGCACAACCATCTCTAGGGTTTACAGAGAATGGTCCAAAAAAGGGAAAATATCCACTGAGTGGCAGTTGTGTACATAAAAAAATGTCTTGTTGATGTCAGAGGTCAGAGGAGAATGGGCAGACTGGTTCCAGATGATAGAAAGGCAACAGTAACTCAAATAACCACTCGTTACAACCAAGGTATGCAGAATACCATCTCTGGATGCACAACACATCGAACCTTGAAGCAGATGGGCTATAGCAGCAGAAGACCACAGTGGGTGCCACTCCTGTTAGCAGGAACAGGAAACGGAGGCTACAATTCACACAGACTCACCAAAATTGGACAATAGAAGATTGGAAAAAAGTTGCCTGGTCTGATGAGTCAGTTTTAGCTGAATTTTAGCTTTCAGATGGTAGGGTCAGAATTTGGCATAAATAACATGAAAGCATGGATCCATCCTGCCTTGTATCAACAGTTCAGGCTGCTGGTGGTGGTGGTGTAATGGTGTGGGGGATATTTTCTTGGCACTAGCAAAATAAAGTGAACAGTGAGTATAGATATAAATGTGCAAATTTCCCTATGAAACTGTGTGTGCGTATGTGTGTGTGTGTCATTTCCCTCCACTCAGGTCTCAGATTACACTCATCTCCATGCTTTATGCCGTGCAGTGTATGACATCAGATCACCACCCCCTGCATTGTGGACCCGAGCAAAAGCCTTTGATCTATTTATTTTATGAGTCAGTGTTTTTTTTTTCTATTGGTTGAACCAGATGGACTTTTTTATCAACCAGACTAATTATGTAACAGGTAGGTAAAATTTAAATTGATTGTAATTTTTTTACAGGTTTATACTTACCTGCTTTGTGCAATGGAATTTCACAGAGCAGCCTTGATGCTCTTCTTGATGCTGTTCTTCTCAGGTCCCCACGTGGGCACTCTTCGCTCCTCCTCTCCACTGTGTGCCCCCATAGAAAACCAATTTCTATGGGGGAACTTGTGTGGCTCTCTCCCAAACCTCTCTGTCTGCATCTTTTGACACAGACAGCAGTCCCACCCCCACCCTCTTACCACTGGCTTTGATTGATAGCAGGGGAGTCAATGGCTCCCACTGCTTCAGCAAAGCCCTAGAGACCAGGAAGTGAGGGGAGAGAAGAGCTGAAGACGTGCACAGAGTTGGATTAAATGAGGGCTCAGGTAAGTAAAAGAGATGGGCTGCGAATACATCACTCCTGTGCAATGCACAGATAAGATATGGTCATGGCACAATGCTCTGCATTTCTTGGCATACTGTGCGGCAGTGAATGCAGAGTGCTACTGCACATGCGTGGGCAGGCTGCTGTTAGTAACCACGGGCCCCATACAGTCAATCTGACAGGTCCCCTTCCCACCCCAAAAAACACAGTTTACTAGGCTTCAGTTATGAATGAACACAGTGAGTGATTGGTACCAATCACTCATCGCAATCATTCAGTAAAGGAAGGGGCTGATAAATGTGACATATTTACCAGATCCTTCCTCCACTCTCCATCCTGAAGGATCCTGTTCTGTGCTTAAAGAAAACACAAGGGGGCACCTCTTCAGGGATATATTCCAGTCTCCTGGTGGAGCTGCCTTTAGGTGCTTTTTATGGACTTTTAAGTTATTCATGGACTTTATATGGACTAACTCAGTTTTATTGTTTGCCAGTAATTCTCCATGTGTTTACTTTAGATTTATGCCATATGCTTATTGTAAATTTACTCCTGTTGTGTGCGTGCAGCTGCCAGTGGTAAGGAAAGGAGGGATGCCGGCATCACTGTGGAGGTGGGGACACATTGGGAGGGCCTAGGCAACAGGAGGAAATGTAAGGTGCAAAGGGAGGGTGATGGATGTGGTGGAGGGGGAAAATTACTGGAACTGATCCCCTGCATGGCTCTCTCTACCGCAGCTGAAAACCAGTGGGAAGGAGAGGAGAAGAAGCCAGTTTTCAGCTGCTGCAGTGAGAGCCATTCAGGGGATCGGTCCAAGTAATTGCCCCCCATGCAAT